GTCTCTGATTGTCTTTGTTTTAAATGTCTGGTTGGGTTGTTGTTGTTTTTCAAAGTCTCAGGTAAAAAATACCGGACAGCCAGCCAGCCCTCCCATAAAAAAGATGAGTAAACACACACACACGCTCTCATATGTTCTGTAAAAGAAGCTTTTTCTTTCTTTCATTTTTATTGTATGAATGGTAAAAGATACTTGGGAAGAAAAAAAACAGCTGATCTGGAAATATGAACTTTGACAAGTAAATGATGACCTTGCAGAAACAAAATATCTGACATTATTTTTAAAGAATGTTTGATAACAAGTGTAGAAGCTTTTTCTATAATCCTTTTTGTTTCTGTGTTCATTTTCTATGTGGGCTTGGACTCTGCTTTTTGGCCTGCGTCTGTCCCCCTACCAACCTGGCTCGACCGCCAACTTTGATGAGGAGGGGGGCCGGGGAACCTGGACCAGTGTGAGGTATGTAAGTATGATGCTTTGACTGTGCGCAGTGAAGCTAACTAAACATGAGTGAGCGGACTTTTAAACAGTTAAATCTTGTTGAAACGTTTACAAAAGAGTATAAATAAAGTGTCCTCACTTTGCCTCGTCCTGGATGTAACTGACAGCACCTGAGCCAGGTAATCTCTCCTCCGGCCGACAAAGCTAGCTTCTCTCTGCCTTCACCTCGGCTTCACTCTGCAGCTACCTCTCCCCCAGGAGCCCATCTCAGCCACAGGTAACTGTAACCACATGGTTTCAGTCAGACTGTCATCCTTTTTGAGTTAGTGCAAAATGTGTTCTGAGCTGAGGGTTTGTTGTCGCTCTACGTGTTGTTCCCTTTCAAAAAAAGGAAAAATAACTCTGAATAACACCTTTCTCTGACCACACCCTTTTATCAGCGTCTGTTTTGCTGCATTTTGACAGTTTCCACTACAGTCTGCATAAGTCAAATCCATATTATTTTTATTTAATTTAATTCGTTTTAATGCAGTGGCCGCAGTGCGTTGTGACTGATCTGATGCTGCTCTGCCTTCCTCTCTCTTCTCTCTTCTTCCTGCAAAGGACGCAGACAGAAATAAGGATGCAATGTTGCAAACTGCAGCCACTTAATAGCTTTTCAATTTTTTTATTTCATTTTTTGACAATTCATAATGTGACGAGTCAAAGGCAGGACAAATGTGTGCGCAGGTTTGGGCCTGTGGGACAGATGCGCATTGCACTCCTGTGGCTGTCGGTCAGGACCTGGTGCTGTGCCAAGTTAATGTTTTTGGGTGTCACGTGRATCGCGCCCATGTATTTGTGTGTGTCAGGTTGATAGTTTTGTGCGTATCCTCCAATAAAATCCTGCAGACGCCCCTGGGAGAGGCAGCGTAARGCGGCTTCACCAAAACACAGAAACTGAATACATCAGGCTAGGATAAGCTGTCCTGGAAAAACAACAAATACCTCAGCGAACGGCAAACAAACGGAGACTAACACCATTAGTTCGCTCCAAAGCAAGAAGAAACACTGTGCTGGAAGAGGAAGTGACAAGCTAGTATCGCCAGCAAACAGCAACAAAGAGAGGCTAACACCGTTAGCTCAAAGATTTGAAACTGAGACGGGGGTGCGAATAACGCAGTCAATACTGCAGAAAGTAAATGTAGGAAAAAGCCGTGAGCCGGGAGTGGAGACAGAGCTCTTCACCGGCAAACAGCACATACCTCTTCGAAGATCACGCATCGCAGCCCAGGAGGGTGAACTTGCAACTTCGGCCAACAGGCTAATGGGTGTCCAGCGACAGTGAAGTGATCCAAACTTTTGCAAAGGCTAATGCCGAGCAAAGATGCAAACCGTGCGTGAGAAGAAAAAAAGGGCCTTGGATGATACCGGCCTATATTGGTTCAAGGTAATCATCCGATGGGTCACAGCTGTGACTTTGTTATTATTAACTACTCAAACAGCACATGCGCAAAGGGAACATTCAGTGCTTTCTGCACCACCCTCTGGTGGTCAGCAGGGATGAAATAGAACTGACATTTAAAGAGTAAATTTAATAGGACAATATTTAAAATAGTTTTCCTAAATCACAAAGTTTTATTTTTGTTTGTTTACAAATGTATATACCTACTGTGCATATGGTTCAGTGTTGGGATAATGGAAGTTCTATTATTAAAAACAGTTAAGTACATTTTATATTTGGCAACATTGAGTTTATSTTGTTGATCTAGCATCCACAACAATTCCAGACCTTTAACTGGCCCTTTGAAAAAAATAGTTGCCCACTCCTGAAGATGGGCTTATCTGCTTTTTCAAACAGGCCAAATGTTAAATTTTACTTCTAACAGAGAAACATATGATATGGCCTTAAATAATTTAAAAAAAAAACTGTGTAAGGGCATCCTCTTTCTGATGAACAAACAAAGGAGGTACCCAGTATATAAATCAGAACACACAAACTAATACAGATTTTTAAGGGATGGAGATCAGGACTGTCTTTACTGGCCTGAGAGTAGCAGTGAGTTTATTGGAGCTGATGTCAGTTGTTTTCCTGGGTTGGTCTGTGGCTGGTCTGTATAAAAACATTAAATCTACAGAGGCACTGACTGGTGCCGGTGTTAGTGCTGAAGTTTCATCGATGAAATGCACCCTCTGGACCACCCCTTGTTTACCCGTATTCTCAGTGTATGGAGACTTTGTCATTGGAGCTGTTTTCTCCATTCATGTTAAACTGCTCACWGTGAATAATAATTACACCATCAAGCCTGAGCCTCTAAGATGCACAGGGAGGTGAGTAAGAGGAAGATGTCTTGTGAATGCATGTTTAAATTTTTTAATGTATTCATATTTAATCCTAATTTTAACAAAGTTAAGTTGAAAATAGTTTAGATTTAAACATCCATGGTCATATGAATATTTGAATTGTATTTTGTACTGATGTTTTTTTATTCTTTCTTTTCTTTATTTATTTTTGCAAAAAAAAAAAGAATTCCAGCATTCATTATGAACTTATTTTGTTTGCAAACATGTACATTTAAATATTTTTTTATTTGTTGCATTGTTTTATGAGCTTTGTGTTGTTTTAAATGTAAATGTCAGCTCTCAACTTATTGATTCTGTGCAGTCTTCTTGCCCCACAATTTCATTTTGCTCGAACAATGATCTTTGCCCTTGAGGAAATAAATAACAGCACAGAGCTGCTGCCAGGCATCAAACTTGGATATCAGATCTATGATTCCTGTGCTTCAGTGTCTGTGGCCACCCATATAGCGTTTCATCAATCGAATGGTCAAGATCCTGTGTTTTACAAGGGCAGCAATTGTTCCCAAAATGGTGTTGTGATGGCTGTTGTTGGAGAATCTGGATCAACTCCATCCATCAGCATGTCACGAATTTTTGGACCCTTTCATATTCCTCAGGTAAATTATTTGATTGTATTGCAAACTAAATGCTAAAATATACTTGCATTTTATTTTCGTGTGGGGATGGGGAGACCTGCAGTTCTTTGGCTGGCTCATGGGGTGATCATGCAGAATATTTTAAATCTATTTAATACTGCAATCACAATTTTTTATTGGATGTTTAGTGATATTAATTTTAAATCATGTTTGGAGAGTGGGGTGGGYTGTTGATGCATTTTCATCATTAATTGTAAAATGTTTTTTTATATTATTTTTAATTTTCAGGGTTTTTTTCTTCCTTTTCTCCATCTCATTTTTGTTACTGTTGGATGTTGTTTGGTTTTTATTGTCTAGGGCTACAGGTGTAAATTAGCCTTAGGCTAAATCTGGTGCAATGCATCAATTTTTTTATGTTGATGTTTTAATTGCACATTGTCCTAATAAACAAATTCAATTATTCATTCATTCATTCATAAAGTGTATTTGTATTTTTCCTTGTTTTAGGTGAGCCACTCTGCATCTTGTGCCTGTCTGTCAGATAAGCAGCAGTTCCCATCGTTCTTCAGAACAATTCCCAGTGATCAGTTCCAGGCTGATGCTCTGGCCAAGCTGGTGAAAAACTTTGGGTGGACTTGGATCGGTGCTGTTCGGTCTAACTCAGATTATGGAAACTATGGCATGGCATCTTTTCTTGCAGCAGCACAGAGAGAGGGGATCTGTGTGGAGTACTCTGAATCCATTTACTGGACTGACCCTCACAGCAAGATCCAGAGAGTAGCTGATGTTATTCGCAGGTTTCAAAAACACTGACTTTGCTTGTTTTTCTTATGGTAGTGAGGACAAACAGAACAATAGTTGAACCTTTTTAGAACTAAATCAGTGTAAAGAATATTTTATCATCCAAGCATTACTATTTAAAATGTTTGTATTTCACAAAATCAAATCTAAAATTAAGGGTAAGACTCAACATTTATCACATAGAGGTATATTTGTTTTTCTTCATTTAAATATGAAAAAAACGTCTACCAAATATGATGCTTAAGTTTGGACAACTTAAAGCTTGTTATTGTCTCTCCAGGTCAACATCAGTGGTTGTTGTGGCATTTGCAGATGGTCCAGATATGAGGATCCTGTTGAGCGAACTGGCTCGGGATCCTCCTCCACCTCGTCAGTGGATCGGAAGTGAAGGCTGGATACCTGACCCATATTTTACTAGTTTCAGTTTCTGTGAAGGAGCCATCGGAGTTGCCCTTCCACAATCTGTCATCCCAGGTCTGAGAGACTTCCTGCTGGGTCTCTCTCCCAGAGAAGTAGCTGCCTCCTCAGTGCTTACTGAGTTCTGGGAGGATGCATTCAATTGCACACTGAGTTATAGTGAGAAACTTTTATCTTGTGTTTTAAAATAGTTTTTCACCTTTTTTGAAATGGATTTGAAATTGGCACAATTATCAATCAATGTATCAATTGTGTAATGTGTGTACTTTGTGTCATGTGTAAATGTAAACCTACAGCTCTCTGTACATTACATTATTGCAACTTATATCTAAAAGAAAGAACATTTAGAATATGTCTTTGTGTGTCTCCAAAAGATAATTTAGGAAGGCAAGTGTGTAATGGAACTGAAGATCTAAAGACTCTCCAAAACACATACACCAAGATATCTCAGCTAAGAATGACTAACATGGTGTACAAGGCTGTTTATGCAGTAGCTCATGCCATTCACAATGCAGTGTGTCAGAAAACTAATTTTACCACTTGGTGTGACAAAAAATTTATACTGGAATCAAAACAGGTTAGTTAAAAAACAAGTCACAGTATTTTTGTTGTCAAATAGTTTTCTGTCTTTTCAAAGGTGCAATTCATTCCTTGTAATTTTCTTCAGGTTTTATCTGAAWTGAAAAAAGTAAATTTTTTGCAAAATGGTTTTCCTGTGTCATTTGATGCTAATGGAGATCCCATGGCTTTTTATGAGCTGGTCAACTGGCAGAAGAGTGAAAGTGGAGTTATGGAGTTGATAGCTGTAGGATACTATGATGCATCACTGTCAAAAGGCCAAGAGTTTTGGATCAACAGGAACATAACCTGGATGGAGGGTAGAACAATGGTAAAAAGCCTATGGACAAAGGTTGTATGATAAAGYTTTATGAATCTGCTTAATGTAAAAAAATATTTTTGTTTCACTATAATAGGTACCAGTGTCAGTGTGCTCTGGGAATTGTTCCCCAGGAACTCGTAAAGTGTTGCAAAAAGGAAAACCCATCTGCTGCTATGATTGTATACCATGTCCTGAAGGAGAGATCAGTAACATGACAGGTGACATCAAATATTTTGAACATTGTTTGGTAACATCATTCATTCTATGTAAACTTTGCTGATCAGCAAATTTCTTTTTTTATTGAACTGCTAACAGRCCTTTATGTTTTTTATTTTTTAGATGCTCTCAATTGCTTCCCATGTCCTATTGAATTATGGCCTAATACAAAAAGAAATGTTTGTTTCCCAAAACCTATTGAGTTTCTGTCTTTTGATGAAGTCCTGGCAATCATCCTGGCTGCATTCTCTGTTATTGGAGCCTGTCTGTCCATCATAACTGCAGTTATTTTCTTTCGTCACAGAACAACTCCAYTTGTTAAAGCCAACAACTCTGAGCTGAGCTTCTTGCTGCTCTTCTCTCTGACTCTGTGTTTCTTATGTTCATTAACTTTCATCGGAGCTCCCTCTGAHTGGTCCTGCATGCTGAGACACACAGCGTTTGGTATCACCTTTGTTCTRTGTATCTCCTGTGTTCTTGGCAAAACTYTWGTGGTTTTAATGGCCTTTAAAGCTACACTTCCAGGTAGTAATGTCATGAAATGGTTTGGGCCTCCACAACAAKGGATGACTGTTGTATMTRTRACATMTATTCAGGTTTTWATTTGTARTGTWTGGRTGGTTGTCAYRCCTCCKTTRCCAWTGAAAAACCTGAGCACATACAAGGAGAAGATCATCCTGGAATGTGCATTAGGCTCTGCTGTTGGCTTCTGGGCTGTGCTCGGCTACATTGGCCTGCTGGCTGTTTTTTGCTTTG